CCAGATGCTGGTCTCCGAGTAGAGAAGTCAAACGGGGTCATCTAGGGAGGAAGGAACACAACTGGGGAAGACTGCCTGTAAGGCAGGGGACCCTAACCAGGGTCTGAGAGGAGACCCCAGCAGCCAGCTGACAAAAGCATTCATTCCCCCTCTCAAGGGCATTTGGGGGAAAAGATCTTCAGTGACTTCAGGTCCTCTGAAGAACCCACAAGTCACCCTAGAAGAGAAAAGCACAGCATTTAAAATCTGTACAATCAGAGAGCACCAACATCAGGTGACAACTTCACCAATCAAGGAAGACTTTTCTTTGAAATCCTGGAGGGGCCCAGAGCAGCATCTGAAGGAAATGAGAGAAGCTAAACTTATTATCCCCTCCACACCTACCCTCACCGAAGTTTTCCAGGTATGAAGCAGATTCTACTTTAGAGGTGGACAAGTGAGTTTTCCAGGAGTTTTAGTGTTTCAGTATTACAATATTCTGGACTTTATATTAACTGCAAGTGAACAGAAAGGCTTTGATGCCTAACAAAATGTCATCCAAGGGCAGTAAAGAACGGGTGGAAAGAAGACATTTGAAATGAGCAGTGGGAGAGAGAGTAAAGTAACTTTTTGCTTGCACCAGACTGAGTCCGGCTTGCTCAAGAAACTGGTTCTATCAGTTTACTTCTGCTCTGAGAAGTGAGATGCAGGTACAACTTACAATTTACATTCAATATTAGTTTGTATTAGTTTTAGGTGTACAGCATAGTGGTTGGTCAATCCTATATTTTACAAAATGTTCCCCCCATTATTTCCAGTACCCACCTGGCATCATACATAGTTATTACAGTATTATTGACTAGATTCTCTATGCTGTACTTTGCATCCCCGTGATTATTCTGTAACTACCAATTTGTCCTTCTCAATCTCTTCATCTTTTATACCCAGTCCCCCAACCTCTCTCCCTTCTGGCAACCATCAGTCTATTCTTTATGTCTATGAGTCAGTCGTTTCAATTTCATTAATTTTGTTCTTTAGATTCCACATGTAAGTGAAATCATATGGTATTTTACCATTTGTGATAGCATGGCTGGACATAGAGGATATTATGCTAAGTGAAATAAGTCAGAGAAAGACAAATGTATGCACTTTTTTATTTCGGTAAAATATACATAATGTAAAATTTACCATTATATACCATTTTAAGTGTACAGTTCAGTAACTTTAAGTATATTAACAATAGTGTGTAACCATTATGGCAATTTATTTCCAGAAATTTTGCATCACCCCAAACTGAAGCTCTGTAACTAATAACCACTAAGTCCCCATTCCTCCTTCCTCCCAGCTCTTGGTAACTGCTATTCTGCTTTTTGTCTGTATGGATTTGCCTATTCTAAGTCCCATATTAAGTGGAATTATACACTATTTGCCCTTTTGTGTCTGGCTTATTTCACGTAGTATGTTTCCAAGGTTCATCAATGTTGTAGCATGTATTAGAATCTCATTCTTTCTATGACTGAATAATATTCCATTGTATGTATATACCACAATTTGTTTATCCATTTGTTTTTTGATGGATGTGTGTGTGTGTGTGTGTGTGTGTGTGTATTACATCTTTTGGCTATTGTGAATAGTGCTGCTATGAATATTGATTTACAAATATTTGCTTGAGTCCCTGCTTTCAATTTTTTTGGGGGTATACCTAGGTGCAGAATTGCTGGATAATATAAAAATTCTATGCTTAACTCTTTGAGGAACTGCTAAGCTGTTTTCCACAGTGGAAACATTTTACATTCCCAGAATTTTACATTTAAATCCCCACCAGCAATATACTAGGGTTCTAATTTATCCACCAACACCTATTTTCTGTTTTATTTTAATTTTTTGATAAACGCCATCCTAGTAAGTACAAAGTAGTATTTGACTGTGTTTTTGATTTGCGTTTCCCTAATGACTAATGGTATTGAACAACTTTCATTTACTTAGTAGCCATTGCATGTCTTTATAAAAATGTTTCAGTTCTTTACCCATTTTTGAATTGGCTTGTTTGTGTTGATGAGTTGTAGAAGTTCTTTATATAGTCTGGATATTAATCTATTACCAGATATGATTTGTAAATATTTTCTCCCATTTTATGAGCTGTCTTTCACTGTCTTGATAGTGTTTTTTTTTTTTAATCCTCACCTGAGGATATTTTCTTCCATTGATTTCTAGATAAAGTGGAAGGGAGGGACAAAGAGAGAGAGAGAGAAACACAGATGTGAGAGAGACATATCAATTTGTTGCCTCCCACACAACCCCGACTGTGTCTGGGATCAAAACTGCAACCCAGGTATATGCCCTTTACTGGGTATCAAATCCACAACCCTTCAGTCCACAGGCCCATGCTCTAACCACTGAGCCAGGGTAATGATAGTGTTTTTTGATGCACAAAAGTTTTTAATTTTAATGAAGCCCAATTTATTTGTTTTTTTCTTTTATTGCCTATGTTTTTGGTGTCACATCCAAGAAATCATTGCCAAACCCAATGTCATGAAGATATTTTTCTCCTATGTTTTCTTCTAAGAGTTCTATAGTTCTAGTTTTTAAGTTTAGCTCTCTGATCTTTTTTGAGTTAATTTTTGCATGTGATGTAAGATAAGGGTCCAACGTCATTCCTTTGCATGTGGATGTACAGTTTCTCTTTCACTATTTGTCCTCTCCCCATTGAATGGTCTTGGCATCCTATTGAAAATCAACTGCACACATGTGAAGGCTTCTATCTTGACTCTATTGTTTTCCATTGGTCTATATATCTGTCCTTAGGCCAGTATTGCAACTTGCTTTTAGGTTGTAGTATTTTGCCATTGTCCTATAAATACACTGAGAATAAATAAAATATATTTTGACAAAATATATTTGTGATAACACTGCCTATTTCTGTCAAGTATAATAAGTATCCTTAACAGTATTGTAAAAATGACAATATCAAAATTCTTATACATTTGCCAAAAACATCGCATTCCTCATTTCCTTGACTGCTAGTATTACTCTTGCATGGTGGTTTCCTGGCTTCACTCTCACAGAGTAAAAGCCAGAATCCTCTTATTAAAATGGCCAAGGGCCTGCATGATATGACCAATCACTAGTCACCCACCTCTCTGCCCTCATTAATTCTTATTCTGCTCCAGCTACATTGAATTCCTTGTTTTGTTTTTTTTTTTTTCAACATGCCAAGCACAGTCCCACCCCCAGTATAGGTACCCTGTGCCTGCGGTGAGGTTTTTCATAACCATCCAGTTCAAAATAACAATCTCATCTGCTCTCCCAACACCACAAGAATCTAAGCTTTATGAGGGCAGGAACTCAGCACCAAAGAATAAATGAATGAATGAATATTTTAGGAAAAAATATAGTGAGTTCTTTATTCATCCATTCAACTAATATTAAATGAGAACTTATTGTAGACTAGACACTATGTTAGGAACACAGTGGACATTAAACATACGGAACTTGTTAAATGGTTGCATAAATCTAAAATATAAAACTAAATGAGTTTTTAAAAGAGGTGGGTAAGTCTCATAAATGACAAATCCTAGTTGGAAAGATTAAAATCAAAGTTTTAGGGCAGAGCTCATTGCTCCTCACCTATCGCTCCATGCACCAGGGTAGAGAGCTTGAAGATTAGACTCTATCTCCAGAGAATTTGGAATGGGGTTCACTGAAGCTTGTCATTCTTCTTAATTTTTTTTTCTTTTTTGATTTTATAGAGAGAGGAAGGGAGAGAGAGATAGAAACATTGATGAGAGAGAACATGGATTGGCCACCTCCTGCATGCCCCCCACTGGGGACGTGGCCCATAACCTGACCGGGAATTGAACCGGCAACCTCTTGGTGCTTGGGTCGATGCTCAACCACTGAGCCACACTGGCCTGGCTGAAGCTTGTCATTCTTTACTGGTCTGTTAAATAGAGGTGCCAGGGGTAAACGTCTTCATGGAAGGCACTTCCTTTGCCCTTCTACAAACTGTGCAAGTCACCAGTGCCCAGGACAGCCAGCAGGTCTGGCTCAGGCCTGTGGTCCTCCTGTGGGGCCTTGTTAGGGTCTGATAGTGCAGAGACTCAGGCGTTGCCCTTGCAGTGTGATCTCCTCCACAATCTATATTTGATTTGTACTCTATTTTCATTACTACTGGGGAAACGGCCAACTAGAAAATGCATGCTGTTCTAAATATAGCACCTACCTCTCTATAGCTGCTAGATTGAGGCTGAAGCTTCGAGGGCACCACCCAGGCAGCCACCGCCAGCGTGGGAGGCGGCAGTCCTCACTAACAGGATATATCTGCTGCTACTTCGGGACCCAGCAGGAAGGACATTGGCAGCCTGGGGGCCAACCTGGGGGCCAGCCTGGGGCTTCCATCACGTGTGACATGGGAGTGGCGTTGTAAGCTAGCCTCCTGGGAAGGCGAGCAGCCCAGGGTGGAGACCTCATCCCACTCTCTCCTTAGCACAGGGTAGGCAGCAGATGTTTATGAATGAATGAAAGCATAAGTGAGCGAGTCAATGGGCATGATGCTTCCAAGCTGGGTGAGGGGAGACAGGGTGAGAAGCCATTGCGGTTGACTTGCCTCCCTGCTGCTTTAGCCTCCCGGAAGCACGCTGGCAGGGTTGGAGGGGACCTGGCGACAGGAGGGGCAGAAAAGACTGGACCAGAGCAAGGGGCTACCAGGGAGCGCCAGGAGACGCGGCCATCAGGGCGCGCGGGAGGGGGAAGGGGGACGTGGCGGGGACGCGCCCGCGGGGGCGTGGCTACGAAGGCGCCGAGAGGCGGGACGCATCCGCGGGGGCGTGGCTATGAAGGCGCCGAGAGGCGGGACGCATCCGCGGGGCGTGGCCACGGGGGCGCGCGGGCGGAAGAGGCGGTCTAGCGAGCACAATGGCCAGAGCAGGCGGCGGCTCCCGCGTGCCAGTCAGTGCGGATCGCGCCGCGGGCCACGCGGAACGCTGAGCGCCTCCGTCCGCCGAGCGTGCCGGCGCCGGGCCATGTTCTCGGGGAACCGCAGCGGCGGCCAGGGCTTCTGGGAGGGCGGCGCGTCTGCGGGCGCCGAGGGACCGGAGCCGGCGGGGCGGCTGAGCCCCGCACCGCTCTTCAGCCCGAGCACCTACGAGCGCCTGGCGCTGCTGCTCGGCTCCATCGGGCTGCTGGGCGTGGGCAACAACCTGCTGGTGCTCGTCCTCTACTACAAGTTCCAGCAGCTCCGCACCCCCACCCACCTCTTCCTGGTCAACATCAGCCTCAGCGACCTGCTGGTGTCCCTCTTCGGGGTCAACTTTACCTTCGTGTCCTGCCTGCGGAACGGCTGGGTCTGGGGCAGCGTGGGCTGCGTGTGGGACGGGTTTAGCAGCAGCCTGTTCGGTGAGTTGGGCTGGGAGGAGAAAGCACCCTCCTCTCCTCTACAAACTTTCCCCTCCCTGCATTGCCACCGTGTCTGTGACCCTCCTGCCACCCAGCCCACCTCGCCCCGGACCCCGACCTGCTTGGCGTCCCTCCCTCCAGCCTCCAGCCCTCCTGCCCCACGCTGTCCTCGACTCCTTCCCCGTGGCCGCCCAGCTCCCCGCGCCGACCCTGCACCCCACCTCATCAGCAGCTCCAAGTCCTCATAGCTCTGTCCAGTCGCCTCATTTCTGTCTGCACCTCCTCGTATAATTAATTCAACAGGGCACGAAACGACAGCCTTTACGCTTTGAGGAAAGAAACGAGGGACTTTAGAGTCAGAGATTCAAGAATAAAAGTGATGAACTCGTGGGAATTGGAGAGGGTGATGAGATTTAATTCATACACTGTTTGTTTCCTAAAATGAGAAGGTAGAAACCGTACAGAGCACCAATGTGTAATTAAAAAATATTTGTGCATCAGTCATTTTTAACATTGGACTGCTTCCTAGGAAGTGAGCTTTTTCAGTCAGGTCCTCAGGGTGCAGACTGGCATGTGCCCTGTAAGCAATTTTGACTCTATTTTCCTCCTTGTAGGTTCCAACGCACCAAAATCTAGGGTGAGATTGATTACAAGTGACTCAGAGAATCCCAATTCAGATGAACAGAATATTAGCTGTGCAGCCAGTCGATATTATTAAAGTAGAACTTGATTATTAATTGAAGACTTGTTTCAAAAGTACTCCTAATCCTTGCGGAAGATTTAAATCTCACTGGGACTTGACATTTTGAAGGGTGATCCACTCAGCATATCACTGAAGATGTGATTTTCTAAGCTTGGGAAAGGATCTTTTCTGAGTGTTCTGGTAATGATTTGAAATAGAAATATGTATTTCTCAGGTGTTAAGGTTTCTTTTTTTTAAAAAAAATCCTCAAATCTATTTCTACTTTATTACTGTTTTATCTTGGCAGGTTTTTCTTTTTAATGGAAAATTCATTCTCAAGGTTATTGGGAAAACTGAAAAATGAAAGAATAGTTAAGAAAAAGTGTTTAAAAATGAGAAAATACTTGCATTGTCACACAGCAAAATATATTGCAGATCAGTAGCAACTAAAATGTCATGATGCTGGCAGAAGAATTAAGAACCAAATCTATGCATAAATGAGGATTTGATAAGTTAGAAAGATGACATTTCAAATTAGTTGGAGGAAAGTCAAAATAATTAAAGATGTGGCTTTTGAACAATTAACTCACTTGGAATAAAGTAATCTCACACTGCATACAAAGATAAACACAAGATGGATTAAAAACTTTAATATATAAAGTTTTAAAAATTGAAAAACTGAAAAGAATTTTTTAAAAGGAAAGCAGATGATAGATTTGAGTACCTAGAAATAAAAGTTTCAGCAGGACGAGAGACAGTTAAAGGCAAATGACAGATTGGGATAAAGTACTCAGAATACATGCATAACCGAGTCCTAATGTCTGGTACACGCACAGACTCTATTGAGCAGTGAGTAAGCCAACCAATCCAGTGGGAGACCAAGCAAATTATATGATGGATTATCCAGAGGAGAAATACAAGTGGCTAGTAAATATGAAAAAAATACTCAAGCTCAGAGGGAATCAGAGAAAATGAAAGAAAAGCAATGAAATACATTTTTTTTTTTTTCATAAGCTACATTGTATCTGTCAGGCTGGGAAAATTGTGCTGGAAAAAATGAGGGAAAATATTGGTTCTCTTGAGCTCTGTTAGTAAGAATGCAATTTAATACAATATGAGGAGGGTTTTTTTTTTTTATTGCTTAGCTCAATTAAAAATGCATAAATTCTTCATCCTAGAAATTTTATGGAGGTTTCTACTCCAGGAAAATATTAGTATACATTGATAAAGACAGATCCACTGTTTGTAGCATAGTTTCGATCCGTTTTGAATTTCTATCTATCTATCTATCTACCTACCTACCTACCTACCTACCTACCTACCTAACGAGAGAAGTAAGGGTCCAAGTTCATTTTTTTGCATGTGGATGTCCAGGTTTTCCAGCACCATTTATTGAGAAAACTGACCTTTAACCATTGAGTCTTGGCACCCTTGTCAGAAATCAATTGACTAGATATGTGAGCATTTATTTCTAGGTTCTGTATTCTATTCTGTTGATCTTTGTACATCCATCCTTATGACAGTACCACACTATTTTGTTTACTGTAGTTTTGTAGTAAGTTTTGATAAGAGGAAGTGTGAGTCCTCTTTGTTCTTTTTCAAGATTGTTTTGGCTTGTATATAGGTTTTCTTTTCTTTTTTTTTTTTATCCTCACCCGAGGACATTTTTCCATCTTTTGTTCAGGTAGAGTGGGAGGGAGAGAGAGGAACAGAGAGAGAGAGAAACATCGACGTGAAAGGAACACATCGAGTGGCTGCCACCCGCATGACCGACCAGGGCTGGGGACAAACTGCAACTGAGGTACGCGCCCTTAGCGGGAACCGAACCCGGGTCTCTCTGGACCACAGGCCGACGCTCTAACCGCTGAGCCAAACCGGCCAGGGCTATAGGTTTTATTAGATGTCCATTATCAGGTTAAGGAGTTCCCTTCTCTTCCTAGTTTGCTGAGAGTTTTTATAATAAGAATTTTGTCAAAAGCATTTCCTGCGTCTATTGAGGTGATCTCATGGTGCATTGCACTTGGCTTTGAATGTTAAACCAATACTGAATTCTTGGGATAAAACCACTTAGTTATGATGTATTATCCTTTCTATACGTTGTTGGAATCTGTCTGTCAAAGCTTGAGTAAGAATTTTTACTCCTATGTTCATGAGAGATATTGGTGTTAATTTTCTTTTAATGTCCTTTTCTGTTTGGTTATCAAGTAATGCTGGAGCTACAAATGCAGATCGTTCATTCCTCTTAGGTTTTCTGGAAGAGTTTGTGTAGAATTAGCGTTACTTTATTATTTTCTAATTTCCTAAAATGGAAGCGTAGATAGATTTTAGGTTGTTCTTTTCTAAGATAAGCAGTTAATGTCATAAACCGCACTTCAACTACTGCTTTGGTTGCATCCCACACATTTTGATGTTATATTTTAAGTTGTGTTCAATTTCAAATAGTTTCATTTTCCCTTGAGATTTCTTCTTTGACCCCTCTAGCAGCATTTTCTTTAATTTTCGAGTGTTTGGAGGTTGTCCTGTCATTTTTCATTGATTTGTAATTTAGTTCCATTATAATCAGAGAATACACTTCTGTTGTAAATTTATTAAGATTTGTTTTATGGGCACAGGTTCAGTGGTACTAAAAGTTCTGATTTCCTTCTGCCACTGCCCTACCACAAGATGCTCCAGATGTTCTGCCGAGGACTTTGGTTGCATTCAGGGGGACAGACAGGAGGGAGAAAGCTCTCGAACACCCAAACCAGCTTCATGTTCTGTCCTCATCCCTGTGGGTACCCCTTGGGTCCACCCAACCCACTGCCCTGGAATGCCCTAGTCTCCGCAAGTCCCACTGCCAGGCTGGGCAAAGATGCCATGTTTTTTGAGAACAAAATCTTTGTAGCACTACCAGATTTTCTTCTTCACCAACCTCCTATTTTGACAAAGTGAAATATTTGTTATGTTTCATTTTATGATATTCTGAAGGAAACAGTCCTAGAAATCATGGTTTCATTTATAATTTCTTTAGTGATTCTGTTACTCTAATTTGACCTGTCCCTCCCCAGTAATCATTAATTGGAGAATTTCACCTGTATAAAGAGCTGAAACTTTGAGTAGGCTATAAGTATATGTAGGTGGTGGGTTAGAGGGCCGTATGATCACACTCTTTATATTCATTTTAAATACCTGCCAGGCCATGTTTTAGGCTGAGCTAAGCTTTTATTTATATATATATATATTTGTTGTTGTTAGAGAGAGACGGGAAAGGAGAGGGAGAGAGAGAGATAGAAGCATTGATGAGAGAGAACATCGGAGAGAGAACATCGATTGGCCACCTCCTGCATGCTCCCCACTGGGGATCAGGCCCATATCCTGGGCTTGTGTCCTGACCGGGAATCGAACTGGTGACCTCTTGGTGCATGGGTCGATGCTCAACCACTGAGCCACAGTCACCCGACTAGGCTGGGCTAAGCTTTAAAAAGAGTGATTCAAGCCAAGCCTAAAGTGTCATCAGCAATGCTCCTTGGGATAAGCAATGGGTGTTTGGTCATAGACATTAAAGTTCTTATTTCCAAGAAGTGCTTTTTCTATGCTAGGAAATTCTATTTCTATCCCAACCCTGTGCCTGGGAGTTTGGAAACAGAGGTTTATTGAGTTATTTATTATGATCAGCTTTCAGTCTCTTACTCAGCTCTTTCCTTCGAGTCTCCTTATCTCTGCCGTCCCTTTTTTCTCTTTATCATCCCTACTCAGATCCCATCCCAATCAGAAGGCATATTGTTCTAAGGCTACTAGAAACGTTCACCGCTTGGTATTTTCCCTGATGACTGCCTTATTTCTCTAGGCATTTAGTTTGTGTTTTCAACCATGGCTATCTCTGTGAATCAGAGGTAAAGACTCTAGGGTAAGGGGTGAAGACTTGTTTGAACCTTGGGAGACAAGTCAAGTAGCAGGGTTAGAGTGGCGCTGAAAACATTCTTAGCAAAGATCAAGAATGTCTTTGCCTGGAGTCCGTTGTAAGAATTGTGCTTCTAGATTAGAGTTGAAGATGGCGAAAGGGAGGGTGCTTTCCCTTTGTTATCCCTGAGCAAGAACTAATTAACTATGAAGCATGGAAGGGGAGGAAATTAAAAATGCGGAAGTGGCTGCTAGCTCCGGAGGCTCTGGAGAGGCTGCTCTGCCACGGGGAAGACCCCTGGCCTGATGGTGGGAGAGTGCGTCCTACTCTTGACCTGTGGCTAACTCACTGTGTGCACTTTCCTCCACTTAGTCCCTTCAGCCATCATATCATCTCTACGATGGGATACTTGAGCTAAATCATCTTCAAGGTTGTCTCGTCCTACTTGCTGTGTATTGAGGGCTCCTTTGCTTGTAGGGTAGAAGGTGCCTGGTGTTAGCATTTTTGGCTAACATTCTCTTTTCTTACTCCCATCCTCAGCTCTGTCCCCTTCTTATTCAAGAATAAGTACACACTGTGCTTATACTTCTTCAGAGACCCCCATGGGAAGAAGTAGAATAAGTAAGGAAGAAGGCAGAATAAGTGAGACATACTGACATATATGAGGGGGTCAGACAACTACTTCGTTCTGTGCTCAATTCCTGGTTTCTTAGGGCATGTTGAAAACAGGTGGAGTCCCTGATACTCCTGAGGCAGAGGCTTCGACTAGACAGGACAGTTCAGATGGCCATGTGAGTAGAAACTGACCAGTCAGCTCAGTGAACTACTCAATTTAAGTTCTGATTGAATGCCTTGTTTTACAGATGTCTAAGATAATTAGTCATCTTAGCCAAGGTAGGGTCTAGATTTTAGTAAGTTTACTGTTGGGGAATCTTAAGAGCTTATAGTGTTGTCACCCTTACTGTGCAGGGATGAATGATAGCAAAGCCCCTAGCATGTGTCGTTTGTTGGCCTAAAGATTTCCAGGTGAATGTACCTTTCGCCCTCCGGGCTGCCTCACCTCTGGCCACACCAAGTGCCACACAGGTATTCTACTCGTGGAACATAACCAGTGTCATGTCTGCAGTTAACAGGAGGGCTTTTCTTCGCTACCACTTCCTACCCTGCCAACAACAAGAACAACAAACAACATGTTAATATAGACAGAGGATATTTAGACCTTTATCTCAGGAGACAAAGATTGAGGATCACAGAACCAGAGTCTGGCAAAATGCAAGTCACCCTATTCAAATAGAAGTAGGTGTTTTTATATTAAATTATTTTAACATGTAAACCCAGGAATCTTCCTTTTTAACTTACACCTAAAAAACACACACATGCATATGTACATTCATATGAAGATTTGTTATAAATACATTTTCCCTTCAATAGACCTATTCTTTTGAGCACTGAAATATTTTTTAAAATGCCAGTTATTTTACTGAATCAATGCTTTTGTAATAATCTGGTTAATTTAGTTGAAATAGTCTCATGTTTCTACCACAAGATCCTTAAGGGTGGGTGGGGTGTGGAAAAGTCTTTGATCCAGCTGTCCTAGAATCACCCACAGACTGTACTGGGCCCGGGATATTCCTCATCACGACAATGTGCCCATCATATACAGTCTGTTTCCGTAAATACAGTGGAGCCACACATTTCTTATCTAAGTGCATAGTCATGTATAGTTTTATTCAAATACTAGTTTTGTTTTTTTTAAATATGTTTTTATTGAGTGTTTTAGAGAGAGAGGAAGGGAGAGAGAGAGAGATAGAAACATTGATGTGAGAGATATACATCGGTCGGCTGCCTCTTGCATGCCCCCTACTGGGGATCAAGGCCACAACCCCGGTATGTGCCCTGACCGGAACAGTGCCGGACCTCAGTCCATGGGATGACGCTCAATCCACTGAGCCACACTGGCTGGGCAATGCTAGTTTTCTTAAAAGCAGAGTTATAGAATTGTGTTATATTGATTCTTTATTTTGTGGGACATTGTTATATCCATTCTCCATTGAATTGCCTGATTTGAGGGAATCTGTCTCTATTGTTCATGTCCAAGAAATGAGAAAATATGTGAGAAATATTAAAAAATAATGACTAGCTTTAGTAGAGACTTGTGTCTTAATAACAAGTCAGGCTCTAGTGGACTGTAATTACTGTTGCATGAAATCCCTTTTAATATTGTTTACAATGGTATTTTTTGAATTTTCTTCTTTCACAGAAGAGTTCCAGTCACAAATGCACATATTGTGATGCATTTGGACAGTTACTTCTAAGATGTGATGCAGAAATGAAAACTACACATTCGTTTTAGTATGCTCAGATGTGATTAGATGCACTTAGATGTTTTTATGCTACTGACCTATAAGAAAAAAACAAACAAACAACTAAAAAGGGTAGCAGTACTGCTAGGACCTGCAGCCTTGATACTTCTGCGATGACCTGGGACCTCACAAGGAGAGATTTTGTTACAGCGTATTCACACCTCCTCTGAGCCCTCAGCCTAGATTCATACACATTTCCTTCACTGCCAGTCATCACCAGACACTGGCTCCCAGGATGGCAGACAGTCTCCCAACAGAGTTTGATGTGGTTATTATAGGGACAGGTTTGCCCGAATCCATCCTTGCCGCTGCATGTTCAAGAAGTGGTCAGAGAGTTCTACATATTGATTCAAGAAGTTACTATGGAGGAAACTGGGCTAGCTTCACCTTTTCAGGATTGCTCTCCTGGTTGGAGGAGTGTCAGCAAAACAGTGACACTGGGGACAAAAGTACTGCTGCTTGGGAAGGCCTGATCCACGAAACAGAAGCAGCCATCACTCTTCGTAGGAAGGATGAGACCGTTCAACACACAGAAGTGTTCTGCTATGCCAGTCAGGGTATGGATGACAATGTTGAAGAGATTGATGCTTTGCACAAGAATCCTTCCTTGGTAGCGTCTGGTACCCTCACTGAACCTCTGGATTCTGCATGCCTATCTGAAGAAATGCACTCATACGTTACTACCCACGAAATGCCTGCCAAGGACACTCCAAAAAACGATGGGGCCATTTTACTAGAAGTAACTGATGTAGAGGGAACTCCGGCCAAAGAAAAATCTTGTGGAGATAAAACTTGTATGCACACAGTTTCAGACGGAGATAAAGGTGAAAACAAACCCACAGAAGAGGACAACACTGAGCAACCAAGGAGAAGAAGGATCACTTACTCTCAAATAGTTAAAGAAGGCCGGAAGTTTAATATTGACTTGGTATCAAAGCTGCTGTATGCTCAAGGCTCGCTCATTGAGCTTTTAATCAAATCCGGTGTGAGTCGTTACGCTGAATTTAAAAACGTCACTAGGATTCTCGCATTTCGAGACGGGAAAGTAGAGCAGGTGCCTTGTTCCAGAGCAGATGTCTTTAACAGCAAAGACCTCACCATGGTGGAAAAGAGGATGCTAATGAAGTTTCTCACATTTTGTCTAGACTATGAACAACATCCTGATGAATACCAAGATTTCATACAGTGTTCCTTTGCAGACTACTTAAAAACTAAAAAATTAACCCCCAACCTCCAACACTTTGTGTTACACTCAATTGCAATGACAGAGTCATCCTGTACCACAGTAGACGGCCTTGAAGCAACAAAGCACTTCCTTCGGTGTCTTGGACGGTTTGGCAACACTCCATTTTTGTTTCCCTTGTACGGCCAAGGAGAAATTCCCCAGTGCTTCTGCAGGATGTGTGCAGTTTTTGGTGGAATCTATTGTCTTCGCCATCAAGTGCAATGCCTTGTAGTTGACAAAGAGTCTGGGCGTTGTAAAGCGTTTATAGATCACTTGGGTCAAAGAGTAAAGGCTGAGCATTTTATCGTGGAGGACAGCTACCTTGCTGAGGAAGCGTGCTCAGGTGTGCAGTACAGGCAGATCTCCAGGGCAGTGCTCATCACAGATCAGTCTGTACTAAAGACAGATTCCGACCAGCAGATTTCCATCTTGGTAGTGCCTCCAGCAGAACCACACACGTGTGCTGTTCGTGTCACTGAATTATCTTCTTCAACCATGACATGCATGAAAGACACCTATCTGGTACATCTCACCTGTTCGTCTTCTAAAACAGCAAGAGAAGACTTAGAACCAGTGGTGAAGACATTATTCACCCCATATGCTGAAACAGAAATAGACAAGGAAGACCTTACAAAGCCAAGACTCTTGTGGGCTCTTTATTTTAATATGAGAGATTCCTCAGGGATCAGCAGGAGCTCGTACAATGGCTTACCTTCCAATGTTTATGTCTGCTCTGGGCCTGACTGTGGGCTGGGAAATGAGCACGCAGTCAAGCAAGCTGAGACCCTTTTCCAGGAGATCTTTCCAGGAGAAGAATTCTGCCCCCCAGCTCCAAACCCAGAAGACATTATCTTGGGTGGCGATGATAAGCAACCAGAAGCTCCTGGAAACAATATAGCAATGGCCAAACAAGGATCCTCCGAAGGAAGCAAAAACCTAGAAAGCCCAGGGAAGCACCTTCAAAATTAGCAAAAAAGGAAACTGGAAATGCTACTTTGGGCCTTCGTCCTAGCACCAGAATATTCTCATTTCAAGGACAGTTTCCTATATGAGTAACTAGTAGTGGTTATATAAGTACTATGCAGGTGTTCACTTTAATTCTGTTTGAGCCATTCAGTCATTGGATATCTTTGTCAGCTTATCAGTAACTGACCTATTAGTTATTGGACTATTTTTGTTTGTTTCAGAATGTATTCCATGATCCAGGATCTTAAACCGGGTTAGCTTTATTTTAGCATTGGGTGTATATGTGAGGGTTCCATGTTAGCAACTGTGCTTAAAGGAAGGTAATATTGTACCAGCTAATGACCTTCAGATGTTATTCTTGTCTACAAAGACAGTGTCTAAAGAATATTTTACTTTGCAGCTATTATAGTTGCTACCACCTGAATAAAACACACACACTGTAGGTTATGTGGGTCTTTTGTATAATATAAATATATGCATACATGACAGCAATAGCACTTAATGCAAGTGCCAATATAAAATACATTTGTCTAATCAGAATATTAGCTTTGCATGATTCTTTATTTGTGAAGGTCTGATGTTTACAATAGGTCTTCCTGTTGAATTTTCCTACTATACCCTTGTAACCCAGGAGGCGATGTCACCATCACAATCTTCTACATTAGAAAAAGTGCCAGAGAGTTCAGCTACTTGCTGAAGAGCTCATTCGTGGGAGGTTCATTCAAGTAAAATCTAGGGAACGAGATTCGTTCCAATTTGATATTTCAGGAAATTTCTGTAGAGCCCTGCTTTGGCACCTAGAAGAAAAGAATTTCTAACCAGTAACTCAGGCGAAAAGAAAAAATAAACTGTAAAAGAGACATCAGAATGACTGTTCTGCAATTCCTAAGGAGACAGGTGAGTCCATTTCAGCCGGGGCTTGACACGCAGAGCTTCCTCAGTGAGGGTGACCATTCCCCTCCTTGGCTCGATGACTGCAATTAGCAGCACCACCTGCAACTGGCAGGAGTGAACGGCAGGATTTACCACGTCCCCTCGGTTGTGTCCCAGCACAGATAGTGACTAACCACCTTCATTATAGCTTCTGCCTCTTGGTTATTATCTATCTAGACCCTAGATTCTAGAGAATAGAAATACCTGTTTTTTCTAGAAGCACAAAGCTGTAAAGCTGTTGTGAGCCCAGTGGTGAAAGCCTGTCATCCCATTTGCATTCCTCAGTCAGAAGGGATCTGGGAGGGGCGAGCCCTTCTAGAAGCTTCTGTTCTGGAATGAGCCCTTGCTGTGTGCTTACCACGCTCTCATGACCACGTCTCCACCGTGAGAGGCAGGTGGCCCCGAATACACCTTTAAAGAGAAGATAAAGACTTAATGAAAAAGGATTTAAGATGATAAATGAAATGGAGGTGAAGGCAATCCAGACCTATTGAAAAACATGTCAATTTCAACGTGAACATTATTCATAAGAATTTGAGAAAAGGAACAGGGAGAAGTTGCAGAAGACGGCAGAGTCGAACATAGTGGAAACAGGAAAGACGTTAAACCAGGCCAAAGCGAGGGTGATTCTAAAAACTAACAAAATAAATATTTCACTTTCTATGTGAATATAAAATAAATCAGAAATGATAAAATTTATAACCAATACAAATCCTTGAAAGTGTAGGGAATATAACCTCGTATACTTTTCTGATGAGTTGGAGTTATTGGTGTAGTTTTTCAAATGTTCAGTGAATAATGTCTATGTGTCATGAAATGATTTGGTAATGTCTGAGGCAAATATGGCCTCGCTACTAAAAGTCAAACATTTTGAAAAGGGTCTCATTCTGAACAGATGCAAAATAATACACAACAAATAAAATGCAGGCATACCTCACTTTATCACACTTCACTTCATGGCACTGTGTAGATGATGTGTATTTTAACAAACTGAAAGTAAGCCCTGGCCGGTTTGGCTCAGCAGTTAGATTTTCGGCCTGTAGACCAAAGAGTCGTGTGTTTGATTCTGGTCAAGGGCACGTACCCCGGTTGCAGTTCATTCCTGGCCCTGGTTGGGTAGTGCAGGAGGCAACCAGTTGATATGTCTCTCTCACATTGATGTTTCTCTCTCTTTCTCTCTCTCTCCCCCTCTCTTCCTCCTTCCCTCCCTCCCCCACTCCCTCCTACTCTATCTAAAGATAAATGGAAAAATATCCTGGGGTGAGGATTAAAAAACCAAAAAAACCAAAACCAAATTGAAAGTAAAACCCTCCACCAGCAAAAAGATTCTGACTTGCATTTTTTAGCAATGAAGTATTTTTGTAGGCATAATGCTGTGCACACTTGATAGACTACAGTATAGTATAAACATAACTTTTTTATGCACTGGGAAACCCAAAAATTCAAGTAACTTCACTTTATTGCCATATTCACTTTACTGTATATAACTGAATCCACAGTATTTCTGAGGTATGCCTGGAATTAGTTACTATGAGTCAGGATTCTAAGGTCAGTGTTCAACAGAGTAAAATAGTGAGAAATTCAAACTGTTAACTACAGATATTTTTAAAAATCTGAGTAACATCATCTTTAATTATTTCTGATAATAATTTTGTTGGTTTCTCACAGTGTGATAATTACTTAAAAATCAAGAACTAACATTATTCATATTGGGGAAATATTTAGGAAACCTCTCTCAAGCAGAAATCAAACAATCTTGATACCGTTTTTATTTACATATGGTTGAAGGAGCGTGTTGTAATAAAACTTTATTGAGCATTCACAAAATGAGAAAGACAAGGAAAGAAAGCAGCACTATAACATGGCTGCATAACCAGGGAAACCTGTAATGTGTGAACATACAATAAAAGACTTAGCTCGGGAAGTTTCAGGATACACAATCTAAAAATTAATCTCATTTCTAGATTCCAACAGTGATAAGCTAAAATTTTTGAAGTGTTTGGATATTAATATATACAAGCTGTTTAAAGAAGGTTATACAGCTCCATTGGGATAAATGAAGAGAGATGCCTACATAGAAGCAGGTTGAAGGAACTGCATCCTAGTGTGATGGAATAGAAGGAAATACAAGCCTGAAAACCAAAATTGGAATCCTCCCCTCTCTACTTACCAGTTGTATAGTCCTGGGAAAATTACTCCTAGATCCCATCTCATCATCTGCAAAATAGAAATAATACTTTGCAGAATTATTCTGAGGATTAAATTAATGTACTCAGAATGTCCAAAGGAATGGCAATAGGTGACATTCGTATGTAGATTTATGACATTGCCACTGAACATGCCAAGTGGATGCTTTAGATAATTTGACAGAATTGTAATAAATTATTTAGGAAAATATGCAAGCAAAGATAATGTCTTTTTAACATATAGGAGTCTTATACATTAAATTCTTAAAAAGGTGCTAGTAAGCAACCTTTCTAAATATACTCTGTACTGACTAGGAAGAGTAAGACTAATAAGCCAATTGGAAGGGAATGAGTACATAATAACTGCTGGGGGACAGGTTAGATGGTTTCTAAAAAAGAAATTAGATCCAAATGATCTAATAACAATTCCAAATGAATTAAAATGTTAAATATGAAGGTAAAAATAAAAACTACGATTCTCAACCCAATAATGGTACAAAGGAAACTTTGTAGCAATGAAAATCATTATTGACAGGTAGATGAGATTAACTAAAAGAAAAATGAAAATCTAAATAGGAAAAAGATGGAATAAAAGACGGGATTTTAAAAAGCTACTTGCATTATATATGGATCCAGTACTTAATATATTTTAAAAGGGAAGTACAAATCCATAATGTTTTCTACTCTTTACTAGCAAATTTATTAAAAGGATCGGTACAAATGTGAAAATGCAAATAAAAGTAAATTCTTTGAATAATATTCAAATTTCCTATTAAAAATGCTAACTGAAAAAACCTTCGCCTAGTTCATGCTAGTAGCAAAAAAGTATTTCAGCTGCAAGTTCCTCATACCAGTAGCATTGTTATGTTAGTAGTTTTTAAAAAGGAACTATTTAGAAAAATATAATAAGAGCTCTATAACCAATCTATCTTTTGGTAGATCTAACTCACTTTGAGAGGCATACATCCAGGACAATAAAAGTAAAAAATTACTTGTATAACGATATTTCTAGAAAGTCCATTAATTCGAGTTTTTGTGTTTTGTTTTTTTTTTAACACCAATAAATAAAATTTTGTGTACTGCTCTCAAAAACTGTTATATAGTCATTAAATAATATTCATATGTGTAAAATTATATGGAAAAATGTTTCAATGAGACTCAAAGTGTTAGAGCATAAATTATATTTATTGATTATATGTACATTGAAAAGAATCAGAAGAAAAACATAGTTGGAATTTAACATTAAGAGTTTTTTTTTCTGTAAAATACTGATATGTGCAATGAAAATAAAAGATTAATGGTATAATCTGAATTGCTGAGAAATTATTGATTCCTTGGAAACTTCTAAAATTCTTTAAATTAAAAAATATATATATATTTAAAATGTTAAATATAAAAGTTAATCTCCAAAAATGTTGCTATAAAGTTTTATAGCTCTTGGTGGGAAACATTCTTGGTCAGAATGGATTTTGAATTATTTTGTATATTTTCTCAGTTAACCAGTGTTAAGAAATAAGAAGGTATATTGTGATGACACTTTAAAAAATTTTTTAATGGAAACCTCAGAGCCAAAAGTGGAAAAACTAGAAGTAATATTAATGCATTCCAGGACACCAGCATGAAGATGTTGCATAATAGTTAGAGTATGTTCCCAAATCCAACAATACCCTTCATTTGGGGTCTTGGAGGCCCAGGAAGTGATGGTTGGAGTTAGATTCCTAGAAGTGGCCAAGCCTGGGTCTGAGGAGTGTTTTCAGGGAGACTTGTGCTGAAGACAGATCTCAGGGCACTGAGGATGCTAGATGACCTTTCTTGTCAGCCCGAGAGACCCAAATCAAGGTGATTTAGTTCTAGAAATATCAGTTGAACATCACCTCTGGTTATCAATTGGCACTATTCTAGGGATTACAAGTAAAAAAAAGAATAAGACAGGTCCTCTGTTCCTGAGAACCATTCTCTTGGAGGAAATTCATACCTTTTACCTTAATGAGAACTAAGATGTTCTTCATCCATCATAC